TTAGTATTTAAATTGGCTTTTTTTTTTAATTTTTTGGAAAATACAATGAATAAACATATAAGTCAAGCTATGTTCATCCACATATAAAGAAATTACTGTCCAGATAATCGGATCATAACTGCGAACAATAACTAATTTAAAAACTAATTTGAACATAAATATTCCTTTCGTGAGGATTAGTTATAAAATTCGTTAAAGCTTTAAAATATACGAAACATTTCCACCAAGGTCAAACCTAGTGGTACAGATTTCTCGTGCCCACATACCCATTTACATAGATTCATTTATACATAGATCTTATGGCGTTTAAAAACTTTATAAAACCTCAGTTATTTAGCCTATTGTAGATTGAAATAACTTAAACTTGATCTTAAAAGTAAGTTGTTTCTATTTAAATAAATATAATAACATTTGCCGCTTTACTTAATGTAAAAAAATCAAAACTATTTTTTAAAATCGAATATCACTTACTTTCGGATTCCGATCCACAGCCGCTGTAACTGTTAGAACTGCGGTCAGAAATAATACGAAAAAATGATTTTGACTTAAACACATGTTTTATATAATTTATGCACTTTATTTATTTTTTTTTTTAATATTTTATATTTGTTTATAATATTATCTTCTTAAAATTTTATGAACAATTTCACTCTTTAATGTTTTATTTTTTCCCACTAGAATAACCACCAGAATTCCTCAATCATTGCCAAATAACAATTACACTTAGCATTAAGCTTTAGCTAACGGCGGTTTTATTGCTTCAATTGTTGGCATACAAATGAATTTGAAAAACCATTAATTCTTGCAATCGATTCTTGCAGCTGCAACCAATCTTGATTTTATTATTTTACACACACTAATGCACTCGGGCGCTTCCCATCAGACTTATTTGCATATAATAGCTAAAACGAGTGGATTATTTATATAGACGATGATGACTTTGTCACTGATTTTTACCAATGCTTTGCAATCCAAATTTCATTTTTCTTTTCTTAAATTTCAAAATTATAATTTTTTTAAAGATATTATTATAAATTTATAAAAACAGAATTTACGTTAATATTTATAAAAAAAAAAAGTATACGCGAAGTTTTCGAAAATACTGTTGCACGGTGCGAATACTGCGTTTAACGGTTAAAACTGATGTGCTCGCGACGACGTAAACCAACGAAATAACACATTTGGAGAACAACATCCAACAATTTGCTCAACTCAACAGTGAAGACGTGCAAAGTGTTCATCTGCAGTCACAGTCATTATGTATATGTAACAACAATTGCGACACTTAACTGTACTGAAGTAGCGGTGTGTTGTTGTACTGGCAAGTCAGCTGACATCAAATTGCCGCAGTTGGGGAGGGCTTTACAAGGTAGTCGCTGTGTGAAGGGGTTAACAAGTCGACTAGGTGAGCTTTTGTGGCCTATAGGGAGGGATGCCGAGATGCTTCAGCCTCAGTCGTGCATTGGGTGTACAATGGAGGAGAAACTGCATAGATATTCGTACAGTGTCCAGTTAGAACTCCTACGCTCAGCAGATCTCCTGCTTGCTGCGTTTCGTAAGCGAGGGCAAAAAAACAAACTTTCTCGGAAATGTTCCAATGTGTGAGAGAGATGAATATATATTATACAAGTTGCTGCATATTGGATAATGCGTAAAGACTTGTGGCCTTCGCGGTCTAGACTGAACTCTGGGCTGGAATTGGACATAGACGTATTTTTTTTAGGATTTTGATAGATCTAGATCTGGACTAGTAGTCTCATCTTGCCACCACTTGAGTATGATGAGCCGAAACCCAGTAACCCAGCATTGGCTATCTCGGAACCAGTTTAAATAACATCAACTATATAATCTTGGCAATTAAGCGCAGAATTATTATTGCCAATAGATGCTACTTTGGGATCGTTGCATAAATTTCTTATCATTCCCGTACTATTAAACAGCGCAGAAATATGGACAATGACGAACGGAGATGATTAAATTCGAGTATTCAAATGAAAAACAGATGCAAGCGCCCTTATGCATTTGAAAGAAAGGCGAAGACAAAAGACATAGGGAGCTGTCTGCACTAGAAATGTAAGCAAGCGAGAGACGTAACTGGCAAATTTTTGTATTTTCAGACCAAACAGGCCAACGGTTGTAGTGCCAAAAGAAAAGAATCCTTCTCATAAATTTTCAATAAAAGTTTTCCCTACAGGGCACGCATATGCACTTGGCTACCGGTAGTAGCCGCCGAAATTCGAAAGGGATTGCCTTCTTCTATTTTTTTAATTCCATTGTTTTTAGAGCAAAAGGCGATGCTGCGCGAAAACTGCGGATGAACGACCAGCCGATGAAGCGATAGTTGGCAAATTGTAGCAACGCTTCAATGGTGAATGGTGCAAATGTTTCCTCGTAAACCTAATTAATATCACAGCTATGCAAAACGTCGCCTTTGCATTGAGTGAGTGAACGTGCCACCGACGCGGCAGCCGCTTCAGCCACAGCGGATCAAACATGAACCTAGACAATGAAGTAGAAACAGAACGCAACAGCACGCCGGCGGTGGTCTATCAATTGAATACGATAGATTAATGTTTGCATTCAACAGAAAATCCCAACAACAAAATGAACACCTCAACACAGCACTTGCAGCTATTTTGATGGCGCAAACTCAAGTCTTTCAGTCAAATTATAATAATTAATCTTGTTATTTGCATTGGCGAGTTGTGTAATCAGCGCCAGCATTTTTGACTGCTGCGGTGGCGGACACCGCCAGCCAACGCCGCGTGATCGCATCTTTGAGTTGATGTTTGCCGCCAACCGCAATGGGTTAAGCGAATGAGACAATGAGACGAAACGCTTTATTTAGTTGTAGCCACAAGTATATATTTTTATGTATATATAAACATAAAAAAGTACAGACATTTATAGCGGTACTTATGTACATATATACGGATTTATAGAGCTGGAGATCGATTTCAAGCGCTCTGCTTTGCTTGCCACGCTTACTGTACTTGAAACTTGGTCACGAGATTTTAATGCCGCGCCATTCAAACGGATTACGTACACACATACATAAATACAACAACTGTGTTAATCATTCTGTACTTGCGCAGGTCTGCTGAAAGTGAACGTCTTTGCAGTTTGTCGCTTAAGTCTTTTGTTTGCCGACAGAAATAAATGGCTCAGAGTGATTTGCGCGAATTTTGCGAATGTTTAAAATTTTTATTGTTTACACTGCATGTGTATTGGTGTGCGAGAGCAATGTTATTTACATCTAACTGTTTTGAAGATGGAAAATATATACTTATCTATTCATAAATAAATGTATATATACAGATGCTTACATATGATATATATGTATTAATATCTACATATTAATAACTGAATATTTGATGTTCCAAAAAAAAATTTTATTTGATTAAATATCTAAAAATGTTAACGGCTTCATCACTTCAAATTAACTTGAATTTTTCATATCTGGTATAAAGATGTAATGTAATGAGTTAATAACCGTTACAAGTTACACTACAAAAAATAAAAAACTTCGATTGCACTATAACACCTTTTCCACCAAAACAATTTTCCTTACCGGGACTTGATTTCTAAGACTCAATTTGTATAGCAGCTATATGCTATAGCAATTCGATCTGTTCACAGAGAACGTGGCATTATTTTGGAAAATTTTTCATACCAAATCTTGTTAAGATATCTTGTCAAATAAAAAAGTTTTTCATAGCAGGACTTAATTTTCATCGAAGAGTTTGTATGACAGCTATATTCTATTACGATCTGATATTTGTGATTTCGACAAATTAACATATTCTTGGAGAGGAAAGAACATGCTCCAAATTTCAGATCAGTCTCTCAAAAACTGTGAGGTTAGTTAGCGTATTTATAGATGGATATGACCAAATGGAAATGCTTCAGCATGTACAGGGTTTGTCCGGAAAGTAATAGGATTAAGTCGATTTAAAAAAATTTATTGAACCAATCGTTACAAATCCTTAAATTTAGCGCTGAAACTGCGATTTCCAAGCATTGAAGACGTTACGGAAGGCATTCTCTGGAATAGCCTTGAGAGTCGAGGTGCATGCTGTTTGGATCCCCTTTAATCAGGATTTTCAGGCAAGGAAACAAAAAGTTCGGGGCCCACATGTGGGCCGTAGAGCCGCTGCAGAAGCGTTCATAATAGAGGCGGTGAGAGCCGGGGCGTTGTCGTGGTGCAACTTCCAATCAACTGCGATGTCTTGTTCGACTCGATCGACCCTTCATTTGAGTATATTGAAGACTTCCAGGTAAAATTTTTCGTCGAAGGTTTGTCCAGGACGAACAAATTCATATCGGGCCGATGCCTTTGATGCCAAAATAAAAAAGAAAAAAAAACAATGAGCGTCGTTTTCACTTTGGATTTGCTCATTCATCAGCGATCAACTTCATCTACTTCAGTTAATAGAAAAGCGAATGTGTCGGTAACGTTGCCTCCACGATAGTAATTTGCAGACTATGAATCAGCATAATCCAATTCATAGACGTAGCCCCACAAAAATTAATCTAATGCAGTGAAATGTTATGACTTTATCGTGCTCAAAAAGTATCCGGAAATTGTAAATAAAACGAAAAATATTTAATTATTCATCAATATTTCTTTTGTCGCCTTCAATTAATCCCCACCAGATGTAATACACTTATGCCAATGATTTTTCAGGTCTTCGAAACACTTTTCAACTCTTTCAGCCAATTTTGTTTTATCTCTTCGATCGGCTGAAAACGGGTGCCATTCCGATGATTGTTGACTTTTTTGCCTGTCAAACTCATAAGCTCGTGTCTCATAGGCTGTTATAAGGCTCTCCTTGAATGTGAGATCGATAGTCGCACGATCAAGCATGTCCAAAGAAATCTGTTTATGGTACTCTTTCTGAAAACAAAAAATGCAGCTTTATCGCGACAAGTCGAGCAAGAACGTCTTTCATACCCGAAATATTCACCAAAATCATTCGAATGTACTCGCGAGAGATGTCGAGCTCTCTTGTCATCTCTCTAACCTTTGCCAGACAATTTTTGAGTACAATATCCTATACTTTTTTAATATTTTTAACACTTGAAGAGGTCGAAGGTCGTCCAAAACGAGACATGTCTTCAATGATATATCGACCGTCTTTGAAGGCTTTGTAACACTCGTAGGCTCGTGTATTTGATAAAACTGAATCACCCTCAGTCTTTTCCAATATTCGCAGCGATTCCACACACGAATTTTAATCAGAAATACAAAATTTGAGATAAATTGTTTGTTTGATATTTGTATTCATTGTAAAAAATGCAATGCACTTCTGAGGTGTACCCACTTAAGAAGCCGCTGTAGACAAACTGCTTGACAGATCGGGTTTTAAAAATTTGTATAAAGTGGAATTTTAGAGATAGGTACTCTATAACGAAACGTGCAAAGTTACTAAGCTTCCTCTTGGCTAAAAGTAGAAACTTTTTGAACAGTTCATCATCAACTCATGTTACAAATTTTCCTAAACTTGATGTGTTTCAGTAGCGTTCACTGCTTCAAAGGGCTGAACGGTCTAAGG